AATCTGAAGGCAGAAAAAGATAATCTCGATGAGTAAGTTTATCTAATATTTTCTTAAGTATATATATTAGAAAACACTCCACTTCACTCCATTTCACCTATTGTATAGTTATATTTATTTTTGCTTTATCTTCTTAAACACAGACAGGTGTTTGAATATCTACCTGGCTCCATTCTCGCTTCTTCGTAAGGAAACCAACAAAAAGCGGTAAATGTTAGTTATTGGGCCGGTCAGATGATAATGACTAAGAATATATGTTTTAGCTAGATATATTTTGTTTTGATATACCATCTTGAATCACAACCATTTGTACGTGTGTAAAATGTCTTTATCATTTTTAGATTTAAATACACCATAACAAAGATAATAAAATTAACGAAATTTAAATGTAAGTATGACAGTCCATTATACGTGTGAAGTTCATAAGTTTATGTATAAGGTTCATACAATTTCAGAATACTTCGTCAATCAGAGAAACAAGTCACAGCAAAGGAACATGAAATTCAAACACTAAAAGAGGAACATGAAAAAATGCTTCAAATGAAGGATCAGTAAGTGTTTTAAAAAAATGTTGAGACTTTTATATCTTACTCATTTGAAAATTTAAAAAAAACCATAACGATGATAATGAAATGCATCAAAGATAATGTTAGTATGACAGAATATTACTTTGTGTATAAGGTTAATAAATTTTCAGAAAACTTCGTCAATCGATGGAACAAATCAAAGCAACGCAACGTGAAATAAAAACGCTTAAAGACGAACATGGGCAAACGATTAAGGAGAAGGATGAGTAAGATTTTAATATTTTTTTTAATAAGACTTTTATATTGAACACTAGGTGACAGGTGTTGGCTGGCTTTAGTTTATTAAAAGATTCCTCGTATCAAGTGTTGATAAGTTATTTTTTTTTAACTTTTTATTAGGGCTTACATTCAAAATAAAACCAAACTTGAAAACCAGTCTATACATGGTAGCTTATCTAATTTCAAATTCTGAAAACCAGTTTAAAGCATAAGGAGTAGTCCTGTCAAACTACTAATTATATCATAGAATAATGTTTCATTATATAAACAACCCTACTAAACAGAGGCTCTTTCACATTTTGGTGATCTGTTTAAATAAGACCCATCGTCACTTGAAGACTTGAACTATCACCTTGTTCTTACGTTAAACGTTTTTTTGAGGGTTTCAAATTGCTGTTGGTGTCAAGTCAATATTAGGGAGCAATCTTTCATATTTTGATTCGATATGAAATGCAGGAATTTAGTTGGAAAGTTTTATAAAACGTAAGCATAAAGGTTGTCTATAGACAAAGATAAAACAAAGAGGAAGAAGAACAGATTTAAGGACATGATATATGTAGTTATTTCAAATTAGCAAGGTTGGCTTTGACAATATTATATATGGTGATACATGTATATATCCGAAAATCGGGCTTGGCGTTATAATGTTCATTTCTGTATACATGTAAATAAAAATAAAAAAATAAAAAGTATATATTTTTAAACAGAACCATTCAAAAACTGCAAACAGAAAAGAAAATGGATCAACGAAAGAATAGTGGCAAGAGAAATACAGGATCAAACAGCCTGGAGGAGAAATTAAGAAGCGCCCAAGACGAAATTGATGAACAAACATACAGGTTGCTATTAATTAGACACACCTTTTTTTACTATGACGTAATGAAAGGAGATAGAGTGTATTGAATTTAAGAAAATTATGTTGTTGAAAGTGTATATTTTGAGTTTAATCATATCACCTTTGAGTAGCACTATAGATATCATGTCAATAATTCATCATTATTGTATAAATGACCATATTGTAAGTGAATAACCAACAGATCAGGAAAATTACAATTTGGGTTGAAACTATTATACCGGGACTAAAGATGCACAATGAGACGCAACAGTGATATCTTAATACATATATGAAACATATTAAATTGAAAGTGCTTCATTCCATTTTAAGATTTATGGAAACGCTTTTGCAAAAGTAAAAAGGTGATTGTTTTTCTTAAACGTTTTCAGAATTCAAATTTATTACCACTTATTCATAATGTTTTCTAATCTCTTAAACAAATTGTATTAGTAATAAGTTTTATTATAAATATGATGCTTTGTTGAATGTATCACATAAACAATTACACCAAACAAAAAGAAAGCTGTATTGTTCTTATGTGTGATTTGAAATGACAGTGCTAACGTTATAACACAATGAGTCTTTTACTGTTTGATATTGTTTAAATTCGTAGAGATATATAATAAAAGGGCAATGATAAGATAATTATTTATCTATTACTTATATCAAGCGGTCATGGATTTTTTCCTAGAACAGTTTATAATTGGAGCTTCCAATTCACTCGAAAAGTCAAATGCAATTCCATTTCAATATCTTTGTTTATTTTCAATAATTTCATAATTTCTAGATCTTAAAAAAACATTTAGACCTAATGGTGTAATAAAAAGTAAGATATAAATATTGTTTTACTTAAAGATGTTTTTATTGGAAACAGTTTTGCGTATTTAATTAAATTGCATAAGCGCTTGATTTATTTAAGAACAACGGCTAGCTTATTTATAAACGCTTCAAGCAATTACAAATCTTTGCATAACAAATGTATATATGATTTACTATTGTATCAATAATTAAGAAAATAATGTGCAAATGACAGCATTCAAATGCTGATGATGCTTTTTATTCAAACAGTAATACAAAATTTTTCATTTGCTATTTTAGCTCACCTTCACAAGATGCTAAGCATGAGTTGGACATCGACAAAGGCCAGAATGATAAATGTGAATTGCAGCGAAAACAGAGGTATTTTAGAGTGTAATTAATGTTTTTAAATGCAAGCATATTAGCCTACTTTTGGAGGTAAATGTTCAGTCATATACGATTTCGTTTATAATTTTAAGAATATTCTTTACAAAAATAAAGTATACAAATATAATAAAACACAGAACAGAATGATGTTTATTTTCCTTTACAGTGAAATTAATAAACTTGAAAAGGAAATCAAGCAACTTAAGAAGGATAATGATGATTTAAAGAAGTAGGTTCCATTATTTTTCACATTTATGTTTAGGAAATATATTTGAGTGCATTGTTGTAGGGCCGATGCAAGGCTAAAAATGGTCTCAGGTCGATCTGAGGGTAACTAGTAACCGACGCTGAAAAGCCTTTTACTCTATCACAATTCATTGAGAAGTAGCAGCACTTTGAAATCAGTTTTGATGGGAAAAAAACCAATGCAAAATAGTGATTTTTGGCAATTTTAAGACGTCCCGCTGTTGCCATGGTACAGGAAATTTACGATTGAGCATGCTGTTACAGAGACTATGGTGTAGTCAACATTTGTGCCAAGTTTCATTAGTATTGAAGCATTTTTCACAGTTTCATAGCAGTTTGAACTTGTTACAGGAGGCTTTTCAATGAAAACGGCCATTTTTCGCAATATGCTCATGGGATAAAAGGTTAAACTTTTCCCTCATATAAGCGTGTTTCGACGGCTTTTTGCCCCCTCCCTTTTCTGAGGCCTCAGACTGTCAAAAAATGCCTTATTTAGGCCTCAAACACTGGTTTTCGTTTGAGAAATGTTGTTAAAAAAGTGACCTCTTTTTCGGCGCGATCCAAATGTTACATCAGGGGGTTGTCAGAAGGGGGATGTGTCTCCTTCTGTTTGCGGGGTTTGAAGGGGAATGAGTCCCCCTCATCGCCAAGAAAATTTTGGACATATGACAGGCTAAAAATTGTCTCAGGTCGATCTTAGGGTAATTAGTAACCGACGCTGAAAAACCTTTGACTCTATCTCAATTCCTTGAGAGGTTGCAGAACTTTGAAATCAATTTTGATGGGAAAAAAACAATGCAAAATATTGATTTTTGGCAATTTTGAGACGTCCCGCCGTTGCCATGGTAACAGGAAATTTACGATTAAGCATGCTGTTACAGAGGCTATGGTGTAGTCAACATTTGTGCCAAGTTTCATCAGTAATGAAGCATTTTTCATATTTTCATAGCAGTTTGAACTTGTTACAGGAGGCTTTTTAATGAAAACGGCCATTTTTCGCAATATGCTCATGGGGTAAAAGGTTGATTAAAAGAAATGTCAAAAAACAACAATTTTGCACAAAAATTCAGTGTTAGGGCACGTGTTAACATGGAAAATCTGGTTTTTGGGTAATTCCAAGGCTTTTCATCATACATTTTGTATTTTGCTAACCTTTTCCCTCATATAAGCGTGTTTCGACAGCTTTTTGCCTCCCCCTTCTCTGAGGCCTCAGATATTGAAAAAATGCCCTATTTAGGCCCCAAACACTGGTTTTCATTTGAGAAATGTTGTTAAAAAAGTGACCTCTTTTTCGGCGCGGTTTCCCATTCAAATATTACATCAGGGGGTTGCCAGAAGGGGGATGTGCCCCCTTCTGTTTGGGGGGGGGGTTGAAGGGGGGCGAATCCCCCTCATCGCCAAGAAAAATTTTGGACATGTGACAGGCTAAAAATGGCCTCAGGTCGATCTTAGGGTAACTAGTAACCGACGCTGAAAAGCCTTTTACTGTATCTCAATTCATTGAGAAGTAGCAGCACTTTGAAATCAGTTTTGATGGAAAAAAAGCAATGCAAAATAGTGATTTTTGGCAATTTTGAGACGTCCCGCCGTTGCCATGGTAACAGGAAATTTACGATTGAGCATGCTGTTACAGAGGCTATGGTATAGTCAACAATTTTGCCAAATTTCATCAGTATTGAAACATTTTTCATAGTTTCATAGCAGTTTGAACTTGTTACAGGAGGCTTTTCAATGAAAACGGCCATTTTTCGCAATATGCTCATGGGGTAAAAGGTTAGTTTTAATATTTATTGAATCTCCATGTCATGTTGTTCCTGGTATATTGTATAACGTGTGTACTAGTTTTGGTGTGAAACGTATATTGATAAGTTACCCTTTATGTAAAATGCTACATATTTAACATCCAAAGTTCTACATCCTTATTTCAGCACAAAAACAGCGGATGAACTCAAGAAGAAGATAGAAGATATTAAAGAATTAAAGAACAAACTAACCACTGCTGAAAGGTTATCTATTGTTTAGTTCATAAAATGAATTGATTTTTGCTATTTATGTAAAAAAAATCTATCATTTTATCATAATTTATATATTTTCAATTATTTTATTGTATAGTTATGAGTACTATAAGTAAATGGCACACGGTTCGTTAGTTGTTTATGTGTTATGCGCTATTTTTCCCGTTGCAGTAAAATTAAAAGTCTCGAAAATGAAAAGGATCGCCTTACAAAGTAAGTATATATTTGTGTCATTTAATGTTAAGCCGTATTTACACTTGAGTGTTGTCAATAAATACATGTATATCTATGCAATCATGTGATAAAAATACATTCTTGCCTATCACACAAAAGTATCTACTGTTTAAACCAATGCTAAAAAAACCTGTCTTAAATTCCAGTGTAAGGCAAGTTGCGAGCTAAGAATGACATCATTACTGAGCGCCTTTTATGAATGCAATGACGTCATTTTGCCGATATGAATGAAGTTGTAATTTCCTACGCTACTATAAAAAACGCTTAATAAAAATATTAGTTTCATAATTTCTTTCCGAAATATAATTAATTTGTTATATGCAAGAAAAAACAATAAAAAACCTGGATGGCGTAACAGACCGGAATATCTAGCTGAGTTATTGTAAAGCGGAAGCTTGACAAAACTTCGTTACTGCCGCAAACAGTAACCTTCGGTCTAGATATTCCGGCCTGTACCGGTAATTGAAGTTAGCTAATTATAAGGAAGGATACATTGAACATAGATAATCATATTAAATTCTAGGTCCCATATAAAAATGCTTTATAAGGTAGACGCTATCCGCGGGACGTTCATGTATATGACTCAGACTTCATACTGTGATAGTTGTCATCAAAGATATAACTGTAATGGCACACTAGCAAAATTATTGTTTCCTTTACCTTTGAAAGTTGGTGATAATTTTTGTCTAGATCAAAAATCTAAATGTGTTGCCGTCGTTTTAAATTGTTTTTAAAACTTGCACTTCTTCGATCATAATATCATGACATTTAAATACCAAGTCAAATTATCAATAGTAGCATGGCTTAGAATTATGGTCATTATATTTTAAAGATGTGACCCTTAGTCATCCTTTTTGACGTTGACTTAGCGTGATTTAAACAAAGACAAAACCACCCTGTGACCTTCACCAATCTTTAGAAAAGTACATTAAAAGTATGTGCATAAGTAAAGTCAGGGAAATTGAATTGATTGCAATATTTTTAAATTATTAAATACTGTTCACGTATAAGAAATGTAGCATACCCGGCTCGAAGAATGTTTAAACATTTCAAAAGTTAGCCGTGAACGCAAACCTATTGAATTACATGTTTAATAAGACAAAGATAAAACAGTTTTTCATTTTGATTTAAAAACAAAATGCGAGGTCAAAGTCTTTTTAAGGTTTTGTGTGGAAGCAATACTTTACAATGACCGAGGTCTTTTTTCCTTGGGAATAGCCTATTTTGTACATCGGCAAGTGTCTTACTTAACTGTACAAACTTTAAACTAATAACTTAAAATAGTTCATAGATTACTTATGTTGTAAACTTAGTATAGGACATAAACACGTTTTACCAAATGTATAAAATAATAAGATGTATTTTAAAGCAATACGATTTATCGTATAATCGGATATTATTTATTTCAAAATTTTTCATTTAAAAGATAAAATTTTTACTTAAGACATTTGCAACAAGAGAAGAATCAAGTGATGAAAACGAGCAGACAATCGGAAAACTGAAAGAAGAACACAAGAAACTAATTGGCGAAATGGACGAGTAAGCTTAATTTTCAACACCTTAACTTTATTTTGAAAATTTTGGACATTTGACTGGCTAAAAATGGCCTCAGGTCGATCTTAGGGTAACTAGTAACCGACGCTGAAAAGCCTTTTACTCTATCTCAATTCATTAAGAAGTTGTAGCACTTTGAAATCAGTTTTGATGGAAAAAACAATGCAAAATAGTGATTTTTTGGCAATTTTGAGACGTCCCGCCGTTGCCATGGTAACAGTAAATTTACGATTGAGCATGCTGTTACAGAGGCTATGGTGTCGCCAACATTTGTGCCAAGTTTCATCAGTATTGAACTTTTTTTCATAGTTTCATAGCAGTTTGAACTTGTTACAGGAGGCTTTTCAATGAAAACGGCCATTTTTCGCAATATGCTCATGGGGTAAAAGGTTAGTTTTAATATTTATTGAATCTCCATGTCATGTTGTTCCTGGTATATTGTATAACGTGTGTACTAGTTTTGGTGTGAAACGTATATTGTGTTGAATTATATTTTGTTAACATTTTCCCTCATATAAGCGTGTTTCGACAGCTCCCCCCCCCCTTTCTGAGGCCTCAGACAGTGAATAAATGCCCTATTTAGGCCCCAAAACACTGGTTTTCGTTTGAGAAATGTTGTTAAAAAAAGTGACCTCTTTATTGGCGCGGTCCCCATCCAAATGTTACATCAGGGGGTTGCCAGAAGGGGGATGTTCCCCCTTCTGTTTTGGGGGGGGGGGTTGAAGGGGGCGGAGTCCCCCCTCATCGCCAAGAAAATTTTGGACATGTGACAGGCTAAAATATTTATGTAAAAAGATCCATAATTTGATCATTTTTTTATTTATATATTTTCAATTATTTTATTGTATAGTTATGAGTACTATAAGTAAATGGCACACGGTTCGTTAGTTGTTTATGTGTTATGCGCTATTTTTCCCGTTGCAGTAAAATTAAAAGTCTCGAAAATGAAAAGGATCGCCTTACAAAGTAAGTATATATTTGTGTCATTTAATGTTAAGCCGTATTTACACTTGAGTGTTGTCAATAAATACATGTATATCTATGCAATCATGTGATAAAAATACATTCTTGCCTATCACACAAGAGTATCTACTGTTTAAACCAATGATTAAAAACCTGTCTTAAATTCCAGTGTAAGTCAAGTTGCGAGCTAAAAATGACATCATTACTGAGCGCCTTTTATGAATGAATTACGTTCTTACAATGACGTCATTTTGCCGATATGAATGAAGTTGTAATTTCCTACGCTACTATAAAAAACGCTTAATAAAAATATTAGTTTCATAATTTCTTTCCGAAATATAATTAATTTGTTATATGCAAGAAAAAACAATAAAAAACCTGGATGGCGTAACAGACCGGAATATCTAGCTGAGTTATTGTAAAGCGGAAGCTTGACAAAACTTCGTTACTGCCGCAAACAGTAACCTTCGGTCTAGATATTCCGGCCTGTACCGGTAATTGAAGTTAGCTAATTATAAGGAAGGATACATTGAACATAGATAATCATATTAAATTCTAGGTCCCATATAAAAATGCTTTTATAAGGTAGACGCTATCCGCGGGACGTTCATGTATATGACTCAGACTTCATACTGTGATAGTTGTCATCAAAGATATAACTGTAATGGCACACTAGCAAAATTATTGTTTCCTTTACCTTTGAAAGTTGGTGATAATTTTTGTCTAGATCAAAAATCTAAATGTGTTGCCGTCGTTTTAAATTGTTTTTAAAACTTGCACTTCTTCGATCATAATATCATGACATTTAAATACCAAGTCAAATTATCAATAGTAGCATGGCTTAGAATTATGGTCATTATATTTTAAAGATGTGACCCTTAGTCATCCTTTTTGTCGTTGACTTAACGTAATTTAAACAAAGACAAAACCACCCTGTGACCTTCACCAATCTTTAGAAAAGTACATTAAAAGTATGTGCATAAGTAACGTCAGGGAAATTGAATTGATTGCAATATTTTTAAATTATTAAATACTGTTCACGTATAAAACATTTAGCATACCCGGCTCGAAGAATGTTTAAACATTTCAAAAGTTAGCCGTGAACGCAAACCTATTGAATTACATGTTTAATAAGACAAAGATAAAACAGTTTTTCTTTTTGATTTAAAAACAAAATGCGAGGTCAAAGTCTTTTTAAGGTTTTGTGTGGAAGCAATACTTTACAATGACCGAGGTCTTTTTTCCTTGGGAATAGCCTATTTTGTACATCGGCAAGTGTCTTACTTAACTGTACAAACTTTAAACTAATAACTTAAAATAGTTCATAGATTACTTATGTTGTAAACTTAGTATAGGACATAAACACGTTTTACCAAATGTATAAAATAATAAGATGTATTTTAAAGCAATACGATTTATCGTATAATCGGATATTATTTATTTCAAAATTTTTCATTTAAAAGATAAAATTTTTACTTAAGACATTTGCAACAAGAGAAGAATCAACGTGATGAAAACGAGCAGACAATCGGAAAACTGAAAGAAGAACACAAGAAACTAATTGGCGAAATGGACGAGTAAGCTTAATTTTCAACACCTTAACTTTATTTTGAAAATTTTGGACATTTGACTGGCTAAAAATGGCCTCAGGTCGATCTTAGGGTAACTAGTAACCGACGCTGAAAAGCCTTTTA